CCCTCTCTGTGTCCTCCTTAGAAAAGTGTCTTATTCATATCCTTTGCCCATTTTTAAATTGGATTGTTTGTCTTCCTGGAGTACAGTTATGTACATTCTTTATATATTTGGGAGATCAAACCCTTGTCTGAAGTATCATTGGAAAATATGATTTCCTTTACAGTAGGTTCCCTTTTCATTTTGCTGATGTTTTTTTCTTTATCTGTGCAGAAGCTTTTTAATTTGATATAGTCCCATTTGTTTGTTTTTCCTTTATATCCCTTGCCCCAGGGAAAATATCAGGGAAAATATTGCTGCATGGGATATCTGAGATTTTCTTGCCTATGTTCTCCTCTAAGGACTTTTATGGTATCAAAATTTATATTTAAGTCTTACATTCATCTTTAGTTTATTTTTGTGTATGGTGTAAGTTGGTGGTCTAGTTTCATTTTTTTTGCATGTACCTGTCTAGATCTCCCAACACTATTTATTGAAGAGGCTACTTTTACTCCATTTTATGCAGTTCCCTCTTTTGTCAGATAGTAATAGGCCACAGAGGCATTGGCTTTATTTCTGGGCTCTGTTTGTTCTGTTCCATTTTGATGATGTTAATTCTTCCAATTTATGAATATGGTATGTTTCCATTTGTTTGTGTCTTCCCTGATTTCTTTCTTCAGTGTTGGTTACAGTGGCCTTGTAATATAGTTTGTCAGGTATTGTGATACTTCCTACTTTGTTTTTCTTTCTTAAAATTGCTGAGGCTATTCAGGGTCATTTATGGTTCCATATAAATTTTTGAAATATTTGTTCTATATATGTCATTGGTATTTTAATAGGGATTGCATTGAATCTGTAAATTGCTTTGGGTTGTATGGGAATATTAATGATGTTAATTCTTGCAATCCATGAACATGGTACGTGCTTCCATTTATCGTGTCTTCCTTAATTTCTTCAGTGTTCTGTAGTTTTCTAAGTACAGATCTTTTATCTCCTTGTTTAAGTTTATTCCTAGGTACTTTATTTTTCTTGTTGCTATAGTAAATGGAATTTTTTCTAGATTTCTGTTTTTGATATTTCTTTGTTGGTGTACAAAAATGCCTTCAGTTTCTCAATATTGATTTTGAATCCCACTGTTTTCCCAAATTCACTTATCAGGCCAAGTAGTTTTTTGGTGAAGGATTTTCTGTATATACTATCATGTCATCTGCAAATAATGACAGTTTTACTTCCTCCTTTCCAGCCTGGATGACTTTTTTTTTCTTTTCCTTATCTGATCGCTATGGCTAGAACTTCCAGTACTGTGTTGAATAGAAGTGGTGAAAGTGGGCATCCTTGCTTTGTTCCTCATCTTAGGGTGAAAGCTTATAGTTTTTGTCTGTTGAGTATGATGTTGTCTGTAAGTTTCTCATATAAGGCCTTTATTCTCTTGAGGTATACTCCCTCTATTCCCACTTTGCTGAATGTTTTTATCATAAATGGGTGGCATACTTTATCAGATGCTTTTTCCACATCTACTGATGTGATCGTGTGGTTTTTGGCTTTCATTTTGTTTATACGATGTTATGTTTATTTTTTAAATATATTTTATCAACTACGCTATTATAGCTGTCCCATTTTTTTCTCCCCTTTATTCCCCTCCAGCCTGTACCCCCGTCCCGTACCATCACTCCCCCCATCTTAGTTCATGTCCATGTGTCATACATATAAGTAGTTTGGCTTCTCCAATTTCCATACTATTCTTAACCTTCCCCTGTCTATTTTGTATCTACCATTTATGCTTCTTATCCCTGTGCCTTTTCCCCCATTCTCCCCACCACCTCCCTGCTGATAACCCTCCCTCTGGTCTCCATTTTGGTGATTCTGTTCCTGTTCTATTGTTTGCTTAGATTTTTTTTTTTTTTAGGTTCAGTTGGTGATAGTTGTGTTTCTTGTCATTTTAATGTTTGTATTTTTTATCTTTTTCTTATAGAAGTCCCTTTAACATTTCATATAATAAGGGCTTGGTGATGATGACTCCTTTAACTTAATATCTGGGGAGCACTTTACCTGCCCTTCCATTATAAATGATAGCTTTGTTGGATAGAATAATCTTGGGTGTAGGTCCTTGCCTTTCAGACTTCAAATAAATCAACTGATATGGGAACGGCTTTGTATGTATCTGTTTCCTTTTTTGTTGCTGCTTTTAAGATTCTCTTCTTATCTTTAATCTTAGTTAATGCAATTACAATGTGCCTTGGTGTGTGCTTCCTTGGGTCCAACTTCTTTGGGACTCTGAGCTTCCTGGACTTCTCGAAGTCTGTTTCCTTTGCCAGATTAGGGAAGTCCTCCTTCATTATGTTTTCAATTTCTTGCTCTTCCTCTTTTCTTTCTGACATCCTTATGATTCAGATATAGGAGTGTTTAAAGTTGTTTTGGAGGCTCCTAAGCCTTTCCTCATTTTTTGAATTCTTGTTTCTTCATTCTGTTCTGGTTGAATGTTTATTTCTTCCTTCTGGTCTAAACCATTGATTTGAGTCCTGGTTTCCTTTCCTTCACTGTTGATTCCCTGTGTGTTTTCCTTTATTTCATTTTTCATAGCCTTCAGTTTTTCCTCAATTTTTTGACCACACTCAGTCATTTCTGTGAGCATCCTGATTTACCAGTGTTTTGAAATCTGCATCTCCTCATCACCTAGTTGTATTTTTCCCGGAGCTTTGATCTGTTCTTTCATTAGGGTTATATATTTTTGTCTCAGCGTGCTTGTTGTGTAGTAAGGGGTGAAGCCTTAGGTATTTGCCAGAGCAGACCAACCCAGGTCACTAAGTTATGGCAGTATGTGGAGGAGGGGTCCAAGAGGAAACAATGCTGCTTGTTCAGCTCTTGCTGGCTTCCAGTCCCTTCCACCACTACCCACAAGCAAATTGGGCCCTTAGGATGTTGACTCCCAGGTGAGTGGTTTTGTGTAGGTTTTAGGACCCTGTACGTCTCCCCAGTGAACTCTCCTGTGTGGCTGGGAGTTTCTCCTTCTGCCTCAACACCCCCTGGGTTTTTACTCCCAGAGGTTTTGAGGCTTTTATTTCCCTGCACTGGAACCCTGGGTTGTGCAGTCTCTCTCTCTCTCTCCCCCTTGTGATTCCTCCCAGTCTATCCACATGCAGATGTGGGACTGCTGACTCCTCCAGCCACCATCTTGCTGTAAGTCTTCTCCACCCTGCTGCCTGTTTCTGTCCCCCTAACAGTCTGGACGAATGTTTCTTTTTTAACTCCTTGGATGTTGGACTTCCATACAGTTTGATTTTTCTGGCAGTTCTGGTTATATTTATTTTTTATTTTCGTAGATTTGATGTCCTTTTGTTTTAGCAGAGGCAGAGTGTATCTACCTATGTCTCCATTTTGGCTAGAAGAAGCTATTACATTTATTGATTTGTGAATATTGCACCATCCTTGCATCCCTAGGATGATCCCACTTGATTGTGGTTTATCACCTTTTTAACATATTTCTGGATCTGGTTTGCCAATATTTTGTTGAAGATTTTAGCATCTATATTCATCTGTAATATAGACCTGTAGTTTTTTTTCTTTGTTGTCTTTGTCTTTTTCGGAATTAGTACGATGCTGGTCTCATGAAGAGAGTTTGGGAGTCTTCCTTCTTCTTGGATTTTTTGGAATAGTCTAAGAAGGGTAGTGGTTAGCTCTTGCCTAAATGTTTTGTAAAGTGCTTCTGTGAACCCATCTAGTCCATGGCTTTTGTGTGCCAGGAATTTTTTGATGACTGCTTCAATTTCGTCAGCTGTTATTGGTCTATTCAAGCTCTCTGCTACTTCTTGATTCAGTTTGGGAGTATTATATGTTTCTAGAAATTTGTCCCTTTCGCCCAGGTTTTCATACTTTGCATATAGCTGTTCATAGTAGTTTCTCACAATCCTTTGTACTTCTGTCATATTTGTGGTAATTTTTCTTCTTTTGTTTCTGATTTTATTTATTTGCATCCTCTTTCTTTTTTTCTCTTTTTTTCTCTTGAGTACTCTGGTTAAAGGCCTGTTGATTTTTCGTTATCTTTTCATAGGACTAGCTCCTGGATTTATTGGTCCTTTGAATTATTCTTTTAGTCTGTATGTCATTTACTTCTGTTCTGATCTTGATTTCCTTCCTTCTACTTCTCCTGGGCTTTGTTTGTTATTGTTCCTCCAGTTCTTGTAGTTGTAGGTTTAGGTTTTTTATTTGAAATGTTTCTGTTGGAGACACCCTCTTGGAGGACTGAGTCTGCAGGCCCATAGGACATTAATAGATAGTGTGAACTTGGCTTGCATTCTACCTACGTACTACTTTGCAGAGGATCTGAGGTGGTGAGGAAAGCAGCTCAGGGACTGGGAACCTTGGCATGGACTGCAGGTTTTGTGCATGGCTCCTAAGGTGGAGAAAGGGCATTTCACGCACTATGTGGGAGTCTCAGTAAGAACTCTGAAGAGATGAGAGACAAATTTTACTTTGCTCTTTGGCTGGGACTCTTCTTGTAGCCTTGACTCTTTACCTCATTCTTTGAGGTAAAATCCTTTACCTCTTTTTCAGGTCATTATGAAATCTATAGTTGTTTTGGATGTGGACACCCCTTTGTTCTATTCATCCTACTTGAAAAGGAAATCTGAGAATTTTGACCTCAGAGACCAGAAGATGAGCCTTTTATGTGCTCCATCGGGTTTAATTCATGTTCAAATAACTTTCTTATGTGATGGCAAGTTAGCCAGACAGATTTCCCTGGCAAACATAGTTTTCCTTGATGCATTCTGCACATGAATCAACTTCTTTGTAACCTATGTTATTGTAGGAATTTTAGGAATTTTCTGTATTGGTTCTCCATTTGTGCTCTATAGCCACTGCATTTTAAAGGTGAATGTACAGAGCTGCCTTAACAAGGAAGGTGCTGATGAGCTCGGGGTCTGTCCTAGTTTGTGGTTGGATCCATGTTCTACCCAGTCCCCAGAGGATGGCTTCCATATCCTTTTTCCTTGTCCAGTGGTGACTACTCTCTCATTTCCTTCCAGTTTGGCTGGCTCCTCTGGTTGATGGCATGTTGAGATTCAAGGGCCAGTGGCAGCGAGGGCATCTGATCCAGAAGGGGCCACTCTAGAGGCCAGGCTACCGGTACCATGGGCCAGTGTGTCACCAAGTGCAAGAATCCCTCATCAACCCTGGGCAGCAAGAATGGAGATCGAGACCCCAGCAGCAAGTCACACAACAGGCGAGGTGCAGGCCACCGGGATGAACAGCTGCCAGCTTGTGGCAAGCCAGGTGGGGATATCGTCGTCAATGGGACCAAGAAGGCAGAGGCTGCCACTGAGGCCTGCCACCTGCCAACATCCTCAGGAGATGCTGGGAGGGAGCCCAAGTCTAATGCCGAAGAATCTTCCTTACAGCGGTTAGAAGAACTGTTCAGGCGCTACAAGGACGAGCGGGAGGATGCAATTTTGGAGGAAGGCATGGAACGCTTTTGCAATGACTTATGTGTTGACCCCACAGAATTTCGAGTGCTGCTTTTGGCTTGGAAGTTCCAGGCTGCTACCATGTGCAAATTTACCAGGTAAGTCACAAATATTTTTTCAAGGGAGCAGAGAAAGAAAGAGAACACCATTGGACTGTAGTGCCCAGCTAGGATAAAACTAGGTTGGCTTCAAAGGGTTTAGGTAAGTCTTTCTCTCTGTCCGTCAAATTACTGTAAAGCTATTTAGCCTCTGAATAACTGGGCACCTACCATCTTTGCCTGAAGTTAAATGAGGTATAATCCATGTTGAGCCCTGTTGCCAAGTTGCTGCCAAGCCTTCCTGTTGCTTCAGACCTTTCACCCCGCTACTTGTCAGTTCCCTCACTTCCTTAATATTTATTGTGCACTTGTCATGTGCCAGACTCTGAGAGTACTTGTAGAGTGAGTGCCTCTGTCACTGCATTTCACACAGTGCCCAGCTGGCCCAGTTATCTAGTAGTAATTGCACAGTCATGGTCATACATCCCTGTAGAGGTTGTTTGTTGGAAAGGACATGGCAGCATCACCCCAAGGTGTGGTTTGCAAAGTGCTGGGTGATAAATAAGAATTAACTTTGAGCCCTGGCTGGTATGGCTTAGTGGGTTGAGTGTCAGCCTGTGAACCACAAGGTCGCCAGTTCATTTCCCAGTCAGAGCATGTGCCTGGGTTGTAGGTCAGGTCCCTAGTTGGGGCATGCAAGAGGCAGCCAGTTGATATTTCTTTCGCACATTGATGTTTCTCCCCCTCTCTCCCTTCCATTCTCTCTAAAAGTAAATAAATAAAATCTTTTAAAAAAAAATTTACTTTGAGAAGCCCCTCCTATATAATTTCTAGCCCCTGAGTAGCTTACCCAGCAGACCCCAGGGTCTTTGTATCTTTAGTGGATAGTGTAGTCTCTGAGAAGATGATCAGTGTGAGACCATATTCTGAGCTGAAAGTGTTACACAGATACGCAGAATACATACACAGTTTTTGTTTGTTAGTAATAGAACTTTGATCTATAGTAGCAGTTACTCAGGTTCATGCAGAATCTTTGACTTTAGAAATCTCCCTTAGCAGTCACCAAAAATATTCCAAAAACAACACTCAGAGAATCAAAAGGAGAGCAGGAAGGGCCCCATATAGGAGGAGAGTCTGAAGCTCAGTCATTATTGCAGGATGGAAAACAGGGCATGGAGTGGGAGTTTAGCTTTGGGAAGGTGCATACATGAATGAATAGACCATTGTTAGCTACCTACCATGTGCCAGGCACTTTTAGAGTCAGTTGGCATATACTAACTTGACCTCACCAAAACCCTGTGAAGCAATGTAGTAGCCTCAGCATTTCACAGATAACTCATAAGTGGAGGAGTAGGAATTCACACCCAGGCCATCCATCCCCGGAGCCATGGTGCTAATCACTACACTGTATTGCCTCACAGGAAATGATTCTCATTTACAATTATTAATTATGCCTCTTACTTCCTGTTGCAGGAAAGAGTTTTTTGATGGCTGCAAAGCAATAAGTGCAGACAGCATTGATGGGATCTGTGCCCAGTTCCCCAGCCTCTTAATAGAAGCCAAACAAGAAGACAAATTCAAGGATCTCTACCGGTTTACATTTCAGTTTGGCCTGGATTCTGAAGAAGGGCAGCGGTCACTGCATCGGGAAATAGCCATTGCCCTGTGGAAGTTAGTCTTTACCCAGAACAATCCTCCAGTGTTGGACCAGTGGCTAAACTTCCTAACAGAGAACCCTTCTGGGATCAAGGGCATCTCCCGGGACACTTGGAACATGTTCCTTAACTTCACTCAGGTGATTGGCCCTGACCTCAGCAACTACAGCGAAGATGAGGCCTGGCCGAGTCTCTTTGATACCTTTGTGGAGTGGGAGATGGAGCGGAGGAAAAATGAAGGGGCTGTGGGAGGTGTACTCAGCTCAGGGCCCTTGGGCTTGCGTCCCCAGGAGCAGACTTAGTGCTCTGTTCCAGGCAGCCATGAGGTTCTGCCCACTGCCCTGGAGCCACCCGAGGAATTGGACCTTTCTGGAAATTACCTAATATCCAGATATTTTCTACTCTATGCCTTTCTCTGCCTTGTATCTGAAAGGGCTCTAAAATGCTGTATCATGTTTTAGGCACTTTCTTCTTTTCTTTTTTTTGGGGGGGGTTACTTTGGTTATTTCCTTTTGGGGGGTCCCCCAAAATATTTGAACCTGGCTACATGTTGTGTATCTTCTTCTTCTTCTTTTTTTTTTTGAAGCCTTCAGATAGCATTGGCCTGCCAATTGTTGCACAGATATTTTTGGGGGGCTGGGGTGGGAAGGGCATAGAGCAGGGTGGGGAGTGTGGGCAAGTTAGGTTGAGTTAACATTGCAAACAATGCAGTGCCAGATCTCAGTTTTGCATAGTGTTTTTCAGGGCAGGTCTGTACTGTGTGTAGTGCTGTTTACATCGTTGAATTTAGGTTGTAATGATAATTTTTAAAGATTTACACGGAATTGATTAGCAGTGTTAACTGTTAACCACATTGCATTAATTTCCAGGTGAGTAAAAGCTCTTGGAGAGCCAAGGCCAGCTGATAGTGTCTGTAGTCTGGTGACAAACCCCTTTTAAGTGAATTTATCTGAAATCCTTCCTTCTCGCACTTCTTGCTCATTTCTTCTTTGACCCATTGCATTTCACGTTGAGTTTATGTACCAACATGCTGCACCTGTCAGTCAAGTGAGCAGTGATTTTAGAACACATACTAACAACCACTTAAGGAATGCAGAGAAAGCAGTGCTACCTCAGTTTTGTTGGAAGTAGACTTTGATAGTTTTTGTTTGTTTTTGGTGAATTTTCTGTATTTTCATGTTGTAAGTGGAAATACACTTTTTTATTTGCCTTGGAGCCAAAGTTTCTGTTTTTGGTGGTCGGAAAACTGCCTGCTGGCCACTTGACTTGAAGGAAAACTGTGGTGTGGAGCTCTGCTTGAATACTTCTTAAAAAACATTTTGAGTATCATCAACTTACTTGTCTGGCAAGTGCAAAAGCCTGGGGCTGGCCTGAACTTTGCCAAACAAATACAGACAGGTATTGAGTAGTTAAATGTGTGCCCTTTTCCCTTGTTGCTGCACCCATGTTGTCACTTTACCCCTAGGCATTATTTATTATTTCTGTTAATGTCAGGCTCATTTGGGGTAATGTTGATGACTGTTTAGGTTTACATGACCCTCTTTCCTTCCCCTCCACCCAAATAAGGTAAATATACATATATGATATGTATATATTTTACCTATCTAAAAAATATATATATACATGTATATGTATCTGTATTCTTGTTTCTTTGCCTGCTAAAACTGGCCATAAAAGAGGGAGCTGCCTTCAATATATAAAGTATAAGAAGAGCACCAGGGAATGTTGTAACGGAAGCTTTTGAATTTGAGTTTGGACCATTTTCACTAAAGAGAACATGAATTTTCTCAGCTCTTTCCTCCTCAGAGGGAGGCGCAGTTCCCCAGACTCCTCTGCACGCTTGCTCCATGAGGCCAGCTTTGAACAAACTGCCACATAGGAGCTGACTCTGGTCCTACCTCGTTGCAGTAGAGTGTCTTCTTGCCATTTTTTCATTTAAAAAAAAATGACCTTAGAAAACTGAACTGGAAGGGTGGGTGGCAGGTACTGTACAGTTCAGCTTTCAACACTTTGGTACAGATTAAAAAGGGAATCTTTCAAATAAAAACTTACAAAAATATTTATACTTTTGAAATAACAAGTTTGTCTGTAGAACACTTGGAGTTTCCTCCCCTAGCTACCCCCATCTGCCTCCCAGGTATGTTTCTCAGCCTGGGCAGGAATTTATTTTGAGTTTATTACTAGCCTTATGGATTCAGGCTCCCATCTTTAGAATGATTATTTAAAGATATTCTGCAGTTGATGTCTTTCTGAAATTGGCATTGAATTGGCATGGATTTTTGTAACCCTAAAGCTAATAGTTGTCCCTTTAGCAGGGCAGATGAGGAAATTTAAGGTCAGCCACAGCAAGTTAGCAGTACTGCTGGAAAGCAGAAGAGGGTTGGATCTCAGTCCACATGTCTGGCTTTGTTCTAGCCTAAGACACAAGATCCTTGTATAAAGTTTCTAGGGGCCGCAGCTAGTTCTCCAGGTTCAGTTGTAGTCTGAGTCCTCACACTGAGTTCTCATCCAGTCAGCAATCCCTTATTTTTCCCAATTCTGAATTGGATAAAGGTAGAGTAAGGCAAAAGGCAGGCTCCTCCTAGCCAGGTTAAGGTTCCTTCTGTTCCAGATAAGAAAAGTATAGAGAGAGAAGTGCACAAAGGATTCCAAAGACTAGGGAGAGGCACTAGATTCCATCCCCAGCCTACCAGAAGGCATTCCATGCATTAGGTATGCTACAGCGGATCGATTTTGTTTTTCAATTAATTGTTCAGCTTCCCCAATCCCCACAGAAAAACCACTTAAAGATTGTTTTTGGTTATATTTTTACTGATATAGTTGTTACAAAAGTAAAAGTGAGAAACTAGAAAAGGGAGGGGAGGGACTTACCAGATCCTTCCAAGTTTGAGTCCCTGATACAAGGAATTCTGTAGTAGCTCTGGGCCAGTGCTTTAATAGTTTCATGACCACAGGAAAATGCAGTTTTTCTGCAAAGGGATCCAAGCTGGGTGTGTAGGGTTTTCAGTTGTACTTCTAGGAAATGAAAGAGCCTGTTCCTCTTACCCCGTAAATAGGTTTCCTACTTAATGAGCAGGAACTGTGTGGAAGAGGCCAAATGCATGCCCCTTGGCTAATAAGCAAGGCACCCTTCATTTGAACAGTGTGACAGGGTGTGGAGGGGCAGGATACAGATGCCCTTTTGAAAACAGGCAGATATCCGAGAGAGAGTACAAACTGAATTCATGGGCTGGCAAATCGCTTGGCTTTGGCAGATGGCTTTGTGAGCTTCAGTGGTGTTTCTTTACCAATTTATTAGAAAACTGTATGAGACGGCATCACTTCATTGAACTGCTCTTCCCCATCTCTGCCATGTTTCATTCTTAACCCTACCTCCTGTAATGGTACTTTGCTAGGCTTCAGTTGGTTGACTCAGCAGTTCCCCCTCATCCCTGGCAGATGGGCCCACAGTGTGAATTGGCTCCAAGACTCCATACTGAGTTCGTAAGAAAAATCTAGAGCTGGGTAAAGATACAAATTTCAACCAAGCTCCCAGGCCCAAGGAAATCCAATAGAAAATGTATAGGCATTGTTTTCAATATTAAAAGGCTTAAGCCACACAGTATTAGATGGTCTTTGAAACAGATCATCTACCAGGGGCTGGAGCATGCAGGGTGTGGGATGTCATGGGTCATGCAATAGCCTAATATCAGACTAAGTACAAATTGTATTGTATTAAACAGTGATGGGAAAATACCAGGATAAGAACTTGAGTGTAAGTTTTAAAACTGAAATATCTGTATTTAGGACTGTGTTTGGTATGCCACACTGAAAGTGAAGTGTTCTGTGCAATACAATTATAAGGCAAAACCTGCAAGGAGGATGCTGCTAGGTTTGTTAGTTATCTGAGTTTCCATTTTCCTTACATCTCTGTCTAGTGAGGACTTAAACAACCAAGTAACGGACTCTGGCTGAAAGGACTCTGGCTGAAAAGACTCTGAAGTCATGAGGGTGTGTTGACGGGGACTCACTTGAAGGCACATGAAATCAACCCTTCTCTTACTTCACTCTTGTTTTCTGAATTATATTGAGGGGGTTCCCACCACCTCCCTGCAGTTTATTCTTAAGGGTAGCTGCAAATACAGAATATATTCAGTAGAACCTGAACTGTGACCGTGTGTCAGTGAGGATCAGCAGATATTTTCCTTATTAGAAGATGAAGTAGATGCTTGAGCTCTGGTTCAGAAACCAAGATATTCCAAAATGGCTTTGAGTAACCATCAGGTTCTGCTTCTGATCACAGCCTCCCTGTTCCTCTTGAAAGCTCAGCCAGCTCTCATACTGACCTATTTCCACTGCCCACCTCCACTCCCCACCTTTCAACACAGATCTTGGATATCGCCAAAGGAAGCCATCCAGCAGCTGCTTTCTCCCCCCTCCACCTATCCAGTACACATTTATTCTGGTAGAAGTGTCTTCCCTTACTCTGGTCTCAGACCCAGGTCTGTGATTGATTGCACTTACCTGTTGCACTAACAAATATGATTCTCGGTTTCAAAGGGGGCTTGATTGAATGAGTTGGTCTTACAGATACCCTGCCTTAACCTGCTGAGGTGATGAGTCCCTGCTCATGTGCCCCCACCTTTGTGGATTCCTCTTCCTTTCTGACCAGTGTGTTTCTTGAGGTTGTACAAATTTGTTGACAGAAGTCAATACTTATCTGTCTTCTCTGCACTGTTAAACTCCAAATAGCCCCTTGAATATTTTTATTAACTTGTTACACATACTTTTGTCTCTGTCTGCATTATGTTCTTTTATTTGGAAGGTTACCTGCTATTGAGTTTAATAAATTTGTTTACTTGATTATCGACAATTCTGGAAAAAATAATAAAAATCAGCAGCTTTATTCTGGAGTGATACTAGATAGCAATTCCTGTGCTTTGGAAAATCCAGATAGTATAAGATCCCCAGACTCTGCCACTCACCAACCTTAATTGCCTTTGGGGTCCCAGTACTTTAGGCAGAAAACAAGTCCTCACAGGGCCACTTCCTAAATAGTCTTACCTTAGCAACTGATACGGCTTCCGATGAGGAATAAAAAGTAAATTTGAGCACTGTGCTGAATGAATGACTTCTACACATATCAGATTGGCAGTGATTAAGGAGACAAGCTGAAACTGTCATATGCCACTGCTGTGTGACCATTGGCAGATGAGTGAAAATCTGAGTTTTTTTGACTCATCTGTAAAATTCAAAGACTGTTATTTCCATCAGTGTTAGGTGCTTCCAAAACTCTTTGTAAATCCTAAGACTTGTAAGTTTAAGATTTTCAAGACTTATAAGTTTAAGGATGTTAGGAGAGTAATGCAGGAAATCCAGAGAATGGGAGAGGAGGGTTGGCATGGTCACACATGACTTCCCAGGTCACTGTCTCCCATAGGCCCAGCTTCCCTCTGTGCCAAATTTGGGGGAGAGATGAAAGACTTAGATGGCTTAGACTAAGATGATCCCTGATGGCTCTCCCTGGCTCTTACATAGAAGTTTTATTATGGTAGACTGCTTAATAACTATTAGCTTCCTTTCATTGTATTTTCTGTCTAGTTAGTATTTATATTCAGAGAAGCAATTGGCCAGCCACCCTTCTTCTTTGATGGCAGCCATAATGGCCTTCCCAAAGATTCCCAATCTCATACTGGTATCCCCTAAAAATAAGTAAGTACTATGGTGGGATTAGAAATGCTTTTGTTTTTTGTTCCAGTTGGAAAGGGCCTAGAGTCATTGGTTATAATCCTCTTTAGTCAAGAGGGTTACAAAGATTTCTCAACAAACTTTATTTTTTCCTTTTCCTCCATTATTACCAAAGCCTACAGCTTCAGATAGAGGAAATCTAGATGGTGATTTTTTTTTCTTTCTCACTTAAAAAGTAAACCTCCAGAACACGTACTTGTTTGGTTCCTGGGCTTATACTTTCTGTGATGTGACACTTCAAAGATAATGAGCCACTGGGCTTTACAGATAGAGGTGTGGGAAGTAACAAAGTGAAGATACTGATTTAGGTGCTTGTAGATAGCCTAGAGTTATTCAAAGTGTTGTAACAGGGTTGTGCAGATTATATAAGGCTAAAATCCAATTTTCAATTAAATGAGGGGCAAGCCAACTTCATACAATGACCAGATGAGCCTAATTGCAATGGACTTTTCCTAGCAAGAAAGGTATACTGAGTGTAATGCTGATGGCTCAGAGTAGTACAGATGAGTCACCACAACACGAGCCTCTTCCCTCTCAAATCCAGCCAAAGCACATGCCTGGGTTGGCTCTGGAAGTCATCTTCTACCCCTGGGTTTTCATCTATATCAAAAGGGTTAGTTTGCTTGGGAAGGAAGGGCAAGGGAGGGAGACAGGCTAACCTCTCCATTTCCTGTCCTGTGCTAAGATTTTTCAGGATGCCCTGTCTGTGAAAGCCATAAGGCACTTATGTCCCAACCTTAAGGGTGCTGATAAAGTCCTAGTGGAATATGGCAGCAGTGCTGTCAACAGCAAAGCATCCATGCTGATGGGGACTCTCCATGGGCCCTGCCTATGTTTATTATGGGAAGTGCTACTAAAATTGCTAGTAAACTAAACTACAGAGCTACAAAATAGTGTGGAACTAGTGTAAGACAAGACAGTATGGACACAGGCTCTTGTATACGTGGACTTACATAATAAAGGAGGCATAGTCCTTTAATGGGTAAGATAGATAATTGGATAAAATCTAAATATTTGGGGGAAAGTTACCATAGGTAAAAATAAATTCCAGGAGGAATAAAGGTATATGTATAAAAATTAAATCATTAAATAATACATACCTGTTAGTGGATATTAAATTGATCTCTGGATCAATCAAGACTTTCTAAGCAAAAAAGCAGAAAAAAATAAAAAGAACAAACTTCTAAAACATAAAAAAAAAACAATTAGAAACATTTTTGCAATGATTGAGGAATGCACACTTAATCCCTAAGACCTTAAAAATTCTACATGGAAAAGTACTTAATAGACACCTGGGCAAAGGATATTGCAAACACATAGAAGAAAACTGATTAGCCAAAAAGCTTCTGGAAAAAATAGTAGATGACAATCTGAAGGGTATTTAAAAACCCAGAAAATAAACTTATAATGAAAAACTTTTACAATTTATCAAATTGGCAAGTATTTGAAATAAATCCATGATAGCAAACATAGGGTAAAAACTTTTCTGGAAAAAAAGCAAAACAAAACTAAGTTTTTATGGTCTAACCCAATAATTTCACTTCTAGGAATTTTTCAAGATACATTATGTGCCAAAGATGTGTGTGCAAGGACATAATTGATAGCATCATTTGGGAACAACTTAAGTGTCGGCCATAGGAAACTTAGAAATTATAGCACACACTAACATTCTGGAATATTATGCAGCTATCAAAAACTCTGCTTTTGAATAATGGAAAGGTATGATAGAAAATTATAAAATAGTGGCAGTCGCTGACTCTGAGTGATGGTATTAGATGTGATTTTAACTTTTTTGTATTTTTCCGTTCTTCATTAATGGGTTTCCTTTGTAAGGACAAAAGGAAATGAAGACAAATATGGCCAAGTGGTCTGAACCAATCCCATTGTGAGTGAGGAGGGCAGAGGCAGAGAACTACATTTAGAGCTGAATAGAGAGTTCTGTAAAAACCCTCAAAGCTGCTCTTACCCACTGTAGGAAGAGCAGCACTGGCAGTTCTGCATTGGCTGTCTAGAGGGTGTGGGAGGAAAAATGCACAAATGCAGTTATGAATGGAATATGTTTTGCAAGAGGCCAGGTTGGCAGCTTTGGCTTCCAAAAGATGGGAGAGTCAGCCGCAAAACCAATGTGTGCAGACTGAAGTCTCATAGAGGCCTGTGATCCTGGCCTATCTCTGTAGTTCTGGAGTTGGGTGTTCACAGGGGACCTCTAGCCCCACCCATCTAGAAGGAAATAGTCTTGGATATGACTAACTAGAAGAGCAAAGGGAGCTCTTGGCACAAAGAGCCCTAATCTGCTCTGTGATCTTGCACATGGAAGAGAATCCTTAGTAAAATGTCATTTATTGACAATGTAGGTTTTCCCTGATATATGAAGTATTAATGTCCCATTTTAAAGGTTTGGAAACTGAGGCTCAAAGAGGGAAAATAATTCATATAGCACAATATCCTGCCAATTTCCACGAACTGGATCTTTGATTTTTTACAATAATCCTTGGAAGTATAGATACTTTCTCATTTTATACAGCTGAGGAAGTAGATTCAGATGAGATTTAAGTTATTTGCCCAAGAGCGGAGCCAAAGCACCAACTCCAGGCCTATCCATATCAAGGCAAATACTTGTCTTAGGACTGGATTCTCATGAGGTAAACAGCAGCGCAACTCCCACCACTTTGGAGCTCAGCTGGGCAGGAAGGAGTCCAGCAGCACACTTAGTTTTGGGATACTCTCAGGCCTTGCAGGGGAGAGGTGGCAGTGTACCTGGGGAAACTGCTTCTTTACAAGGAGCTACAGGTTGCAGTGTCTCTCACCCCAAATCAAGCTCTTCAGTTCTGGTTCCTGGTCCGAACTTTCACATAGGGCCAGATCATTGAGAAGTTACATTTAAAGGATTAAACACTGCATGAGTGCCCAACTTTCAGAATTTTGAAAATTTTCCCTCCAATTATAAAAGTAGTATATTCTAGTCCTATACACAGAAAAGCATTTGGTAAACCTAATATGCCAATCCCGTAGCCAGAAATAAATACTGTTTATGATTTTGGCATATAGTCTGCCAGCTTTTTGTTCCAAGGCTATGCATTATTCTTGTATACGTCTACAAAAATGGGCTCTTCTCTAACCCTCTGTGTTCCATACAACATGTACTGTGAATGCATGCTCTCATCTTCAAAACAGTACTGTGCGATCTGTATCATCCCAAACACGGATATATGATCTTACTCATGTTCATACAAATTAAGTAGGAAAGCTGAGATTCAAAGTGCAGCAGTCTGGGTCCAGAGGTCTACTGCCATTTCTGACAAATCTCTTTACATGTTTATACATATGTGCATACACACATTTTCTAAAATGGCTACCTAGAATGCCATTGTAATGACCCTATGATATATTACCTCCATACATGTTTTTATGAGACTACCCTGTTACCTTATACTGTTAGAGTATAAGATAATACTTTAGAAGTGGAATTGCTGGGTCCCATTGTTCAAAGCAATTCATAAGAAATTTTGGTATAACATATTCTGTACCCCAGATTAGTTTGTCTTTTCTGGAACTCAGCTAGTATCTATCAGTTTTTAAATTATGTGTGCCTGTGCTCCTGTTCCCCGAACACAGAATGTTAACAGTTCAGGAGTTCATACAAAAGTACAGCACAAGCTTCTTGAAACTTAAGCTTCCAATTCTAAGGGGGCAATCTGTGGTGACAGAGGCACCTAGTGGTGAAGGGTGGCACTGCAGCCTCACTGGAGGGAAGGAGCATTTCTAAATGGACTTGGAAGAGGGGGGCTTTCCAGATTGGTAAAAAGCCAAATCTACTCTCTGCTGTCTGTTGACCTGCCAGGTTTTCAGCTCAGCCTTTTACTTTCAATTTCATAACAGCTGTCAATGAGGAAACAGTTTGCCTTACAGAAATTTGCTTCACTGATATTACAACTTTGACAAACTGCAAAATGGCTATGTTTTCTCCAGGGGGAAGTTACCTCTGGTTTCCTTCCCTATGTATGCCATTTACTATGAGTGCTGCTTGTATTGAAAACCTGCTGCAGTGCCTGTGCAGAAACCACCAACACCAAGAAAAGTACAAACAAATGGGTTTCCTTCCCTCTGTCTTAGATGAAGGATGCTTCAATTTTAGACATTTGTTGAAAATGTGTATATCATATAAATGGACTACACTCCTTAAGCTGGTATACTCCACAAAAGTTGTCTGCTGGGTTAAGAGGGTGCAACCCAACCACGTTCTCTGCTACTGCCCACAAAGCATCAGAACTGCACCTAAAAAGTGGTGGCTGGGCTCAGGAATCAGGAACATGTGTGGGATGATGCTCTCTTCTTTATCTTGTATTTCCATCAGTCCTAGGCCAGGAAGTAATCCATGCATGCTGCAACAATGAAGGCAGGTTCATAACACAGGGTTGAGTGGTTAGAAATGCAGAGGCAGGGGTGGTAAGGTTCTGTTGAGGGGGATGTCATGGGGCAGTGGGCTGCAGGTGAACAGCTTATGGAAAGCTACCTCCTGCAAATGTGTTTAATGGAAAGAATACTGGTACTGCCAGAAGCCTAGAATCAAGTCTTAGCTCTGCCATTTAACAGATGTGAGACACATCTCAACCTAAGGTTAATGAGCTCAAGCCAAGCCTCAGTTTCTTCAGTTCTTACATATTCAAGTTACTATCTCACAGGGCTTCTGTGAGGATTATCAGATGATCATAATTAACGTGGAGGGTGCACTTACTTAATGGCCAGCATCATTGTAAACACTTTCTATGCATTCTCATTTAATCCTCAACAGAGCTCATGTACCTAATTTAGGTACTAATAGAGGCACAATTGTTATGTCCACTTTTCAGATAAAACAGGCTCACAAACAACTTGCTCAAGTCATATAACTGTTAAGTGACAGGTAATAATGGCAATCTGCCATCTGAGTCCTTTTAAAATGCTGTTCGAGTTTACTCTTTTGTTCATTTTACTTAAAACATTTGAAGCACTATTTGAAAAGCTTTTAAAAAACATTAACTTATTTAATAATTTATGTTGTAAAATATATGGTACAGTGCTTAGAATCTAGGATTCATCTAATAGATGTTAGTTTTCTGCCACCATGTACTGAATATTCATGGAACTGGGTTAGAGGGCTGGAGGCAGAAATCAGCAAACACTAGCCCAGAAGCTGTCTCCACTTGATGCTGGACTTAAGCTAATCAGCACTGAGATTTTTGGGTCTGGAGGACTGCAACTCAGAGCGCTAGCATGCGTCTGAAGTCAGACCACCAAGGTTCAAGCCCTAACTGTGCACTTGGGATAGGCATAGCAGTAGGCAAGTTGACTGATCTGAGCCTTTTTCTTTACTTGCTAAACAGGGATATTCAACAAACTCAGCCAAACATGCATATCAAAGCATTTAGCATGGTACCTTACACTAAGAGTTTGATAAATTACAGCAATTATTAGTATTTTCAATACTAATTTTAGCAGCTACCAGAAATGTAAGGATGAAGAGCTGAGTCAGGTTCCCAGCATGAGGAAACCTTCCATTCTCTTTGCTGGTCCCTCCTGAGTCACTCTGACACTTCTCCAAGGGTATCTGCTGGCATCTTGGAGACAGCTGCACAGATGAGGCCCAGAGTGACCTTATAGTTTGGGGGAGTATATGCTCCTGCTGCTGTACTTCCTTAATATAATACAGATATCAGAGGGTTTCCTTACTACATGATTTGCTATTTGCAGATTTTTCTCTTGACTTATCAAAAAAAGACCTTTGTTTGAGTCAGAACCTAAACTTTTTTGCTCCCTGACCGTGACACTCCCTCCTTCGAGCCCTTAATCCCTGCAGAATATCCTGTCCACTTTCAGAAGCAAGCTTTGGCTCACTGTTGCCTGTCCACTATACCATGGGGAACATGAAGATCAGGCTCCTATTCTACCCCTACCTCCATATGTTGGACCTGACAAGCTAGGTTAGGGCAAGTTTGTCTGCCCCTAGTCTGTGTTCTCAAACAAAATGCTTTGCTGGCAACTTTGGGTCACTTTTTTTTTTAACCTCCTGCTGTTAGGCTCCCCACAAGCCTGTTTAAAGTATATCAGTCTAAGATTTTTTTTTTTAAATCTAAATACCTAATGCTTGATTCTGTTTCTCAGAGACAGCAGTTCTCTCAAGCTGCCCAGCAGACAGCCTGTCAAACCAGTGGTCCTCAGATGCATGTTACAGAATTTTAGGATAGGAAATTAATTTCTCATCCAGGCTTCAAGGCTTGAGGTATTTATATTCTATCATCTGGGACCTCGGACCCAGGAATCCTTTAATGTCAGAATTTTAAGGGACTTTTTAGATATAGATAATGCAATCCAGTGCTTTTCAAACTGCTCAAAAGGGCCACTGCCCTCTCTTCTCTCCTGGATACATAGATTCATTTATCCATCCTCTCACGCATTCCAACTGCCTGTCTTCATGCTTTAGGATTTAACACATTTTTTTTAAAGAAAGGTTTTTGTAGTTAAAAGGGTTGTAAGTCACTGCTTTATTTCAAATCCCTTATTTTACTGAAGGGAAATTGAGACCCAAAGTGGGAAAATGGCCACTTGTCAGAGGCAATAGGTGATAGGGCTGGGACTGAACCTGAGTCCTGCTCTACCTTTCCTCAAGTTTAAAATCAGCAAAACATGTGCTACTGGAAATTCACAGGTGGCATGTGATGAAGGGAAGAGGGTGGGGAAGGCAGGAACACACTGCTTATGTGGAAAAGGCAACCCAGTCACATCTAAATCTGGGCATTGCCCTACAACTTGTTAACCAGTTTTATTCAAGTGGAGTTAGGCAACTACCTCTTGTTCCTAAGAGGCTGGAGGACGTAAGACTTCTGTCTTTAAACTGGGATGAGTTGTGTCCTTGAGGGACCAATAAGAATATTTATCTGTAAAATGGAAATACAGTAACTATCTCTTAAGAACTGGAAATTAAGAGATGATTCATGTAAGTCCTCATTTACATGTCTGGACATCAACAAAAGGCCTTTCTCTAAGAATTCCAGGGGCTAAAATGAAGGAACTCTTCAGTCCTTACCTCCTGGTTCCTGGCAGCAGGATGAGGCAGAGGGTGCCTGAACTCAGGCTGAGCTTCCCTATCTTCTGGCCACAGTGCCAGGCTGCTGTCTTTGGGTGGTCCACCTTCAGAGTCTAGGATCAAAGCCAAGTGTTGGCACTCAGCCAGAGTACCCTCTGCTTACTACCAGAGGGGCTGCAACGTTCTTTCTCAGGTTCTAGAGCTGTGGGGTCCCATGAGAGGCTATGTGTAAATCCTCAGGCTGAAGCTGAAACATATATTTTAGGGCTCCCTGTCCACCCTAGCATCCCCAGGCCACCAAGTCAGATTATGATGACAGCTGCTGTTCTTCCCTTCTGATGGGCCTTCCAGCTGTCCTGAGTTAGGGGAACTGTAGCACTAATGAGCGCTAGTCTAGCCTCTGCCATTAAATAACTTTGTGACCTGGGGTAGTCACTCACCACTTGACCTCTATTTCTCATCTGCTAAGTGTAGGAGGTTAGATAAGGACAGGGGTTCCCAAACTGTAGTCATTCACCTTCCACCTAGATGCTTCTGCTTGTGTTTTCCTCTAATGGTTTTTTTTAACAGTCACTTTCTTCCTTAATATCAACTAAATAATACTGTCCATGAAATCACACATTCAATGTGGTGGTTGTACAATTTAATGAATGTCGATAAACAAGTGAAAAAAGGTCCATCTATGATCACCAAAAATCATATTGTCTATGTACCATATTCTGGGAAACCCTAGATCACTAAAGACTTGTCCAGCTTTCTAGCCTTGTATATAAGTCCCTCAAAAGTCCCTGGGAGATCAACCTGGAATACAAAAAAAAGATTTTAGCACGTATGGAAAGGGCAAGTGTATGGGAGATCATGGAGAAAAAAAATGTACCCAGGGCTGGAAGAAGCTAGAGAATGAAGTAAGACTAGTGCCAGGGTGGTAACAAATGACCGAAGGCAGAAGTGTCCCTTGAGGAGGACTCTCCTAATTTTCAAAATTATCAGTAGGTTAATGCCCATAGCCAGTAAACCAAGTAAACCAGCTACCTTTCCCTGATGCCAGGATATACCCCTCCTCTCACCTGCAAGATCTGCTGTTCTGAGGGGGAAAGTATGACTTGAAGTCCTAGGGGCCTTGCTTCAGGAGCCATTAAGCCATGTGTGGAGGTACAGGGAGGTTAGAGCATGCCTGCCTTTCAGCTTTGAGTCCTTGCCTGTAAGAATGTTTTGGGCCTTCTGGGCACTGCCAAAAGTTTTAAATTCTGAAAGCAAGATACTCCCTTCTGTTAAGAGGGGCCATAAAACCAACCTGTTCACCAAGCTAGAGCCCAACCAGGATCAAGGAAAAGGACAGAATGAGGAGCTGTTGACCTTGTCTAGCCCAGGAGGGCTTACTGGGAACATTTTCTTTCTCTGACCTCATGTTATTACCATCTTTAATAAACCCCAAGGCTACATTCAATAGCATATACTGACTCAGGAAACTATTTTTTTTTCTCCTGTCCACTTTTAAGATCTTTAGGCAAGATCACAGCTTCTAAGCCAAAAAAGAGGTTGGGCTGCTGCAACAGATGTTCTTTAAAGGTTTCAGTCACTCCAGAGAGATATACGGTACCTCGGTTCTCGGAATCTCATTCTAGCTCCTTCACAAGGGTGTCACAATCAAGGTTGAGCTCCGTCATAGGCCTCTTGCACCTAACCAGGAAAAGATGGCATTAGTGGTGGAAAGTTACCACTTCCACCCCCAGGCTTGTTATATACTAGCAAGTAACTTAATTCTGCAGTTTCCTCTTCTGTGAGAGGAGACTACTGATAACTGCCTAATAGGACTACAGTAGAGAAATGTAAATATTTTGTGTAAACACACTATCTCCTCATTTTCTCACCCTCACCACCTGGCAGTGGAAATTAGTTCCCTGCCTTCTACCCGAATTTCTGTTTACTTGCATAAGAAACTTCAAAATACCACCATTTGATCCCCTGAAAGCTAAAGGAAAAGACAACCACCAAAAAACCACCATGAATAAATAATACCGGCTCTAAGTAGTGATAATGAGTATAAGGAAGACCCCATGTAACCCAGGCTGATTTTGAGAAAAACAAAAGCTCTCTGAAATAACTGTAAACAGAGGCTGTGCTAGGCCAGGGCTGAGTGATAGTGCTGCTTTTTTCCCTCTCTAACCACCCTACCTTGATGAAGTTATGTTCTACCAGAGTGCCATCCAAGGACTCAATGGCCAGCTGGGCAGCCTCTAGGACTTCATACTCTGTACAGAAATGTGGCTGCAGGAAAAGCAAGATATCCTTCCTTTGCTTTCCAGGCTCACACTGTCAGAGAAGGGGCTGGAAAGGGGGTTAAGCTATAGTGGCCAAAGCCACCAGAAAGGATTTCCTTGCTGTGTTAGGCTAGACAGTGATTGAAATCAGGGTCTTAGAGATATTTGTATACCAGTGTTCATAGCAGCATTATTCAGAATAGCCAAAAGGTTAAAACAGTTCATCGGTGGATGAAAGGATAAAATGTGCCATATTCATACAATGGAATAATAGGCTTGGAAAGGAATGGAATTCTAACACATGCTTTAACATGGATGAACCTTGAAAACATACGTGCTAAGTGAAATAAACCAGACATAAAATGACGAATATTGTATGAATCCACTTACATGATGTACACAGAGTAGTCAAACTCATAGAGACAGAAAGTAGAATAGTGGTTACCAGGTCTTGGGGAGAAAGGACTGGGGAGTTAATAGGTACAGAGTTTCAGATTGGCATGATGAATAAGTTCTGAAGAAAATGTATTTGGTAGCACTAAATTGTTACAACCATTTAAAAATGGTTAAAACAAATTTATGTATATTTTACAAAAAAAAAAAAAGACTCATAGGAAGAAATTAGTCCTAAGACATACCCTTCCCATCCTTCAGTCTTTACTGACTTCCTGCTAAGACTATGGAGATGGAATAAGTCCTTTTAAATGGTATAAATTTTTTAAACCATACATAAGAATAATTTTTTTAAAGTAAAAGGGTTTATAGGGTTTTAATGTAAATAACAGACCAATGAACAAAACTTACTTCAAGAGACTAGAGAACTAACAATAACAAAAGCCCTGCCATAATGTTCTTCCCCTATCTTAATCCAGCTGTGAGTCACCTTTGTAGCTAAATCCTACAGAGATTTCCCAAGACATGGAAATTACTGCTCTTCTTGAAAGGGCATTTTACCATTTAAAGCTGAGGTCCCAAGCAGGAAGTCCATAGGCTACATTCAACCAGCAGCCATAATTTTTTGTCTGGCTCACATGATATTTAAGAAAATTGGAACCAACCTATGGAAATTGGCAGGTTTCTCAATTCTCAAAACAAGGCAAAACAATCAGAAGCTCTGTCACTACTGGGTCCATATTCTTGTGAGTCAACAACTGAACTGCTGCCCTAAGACAGAGCATGGCTCACACTCCAGTTGGTGACAATCAGATCACATCACTAACCTTTGTTATCTGAATGGCCCCACCCAGCATCTGAATTTCTAGCACTAATTAAGAAGGTCAGAATCTGAGTTTTCTTGTATGATTACCTGGTGGGTTTTAAGAACAAAAGCCATTGACCAGACTGGGCTAAAGCTCTGAAACAGCCTCTTCAGAGCCCCATTTGCATTGCATTTTTTGCTGAATGGCCTGGCATAGATAGTTGATATCTCTGTCCACTTGAGCCTCATCTATAAGCAACAGTAGAATACAGTGCAGAGATAGATGTGGAGTGAGAATTCAGTCAAATCTAAAGAAGCCATAAGTCAAAACATGGAATAATTCCACTTTAAGGAATTTCTCAACACAAACACCTGGCAAATTTTCAAGGACCCATATAAAAGTATTATATCACTAAAGGATTATTTGGAATAGCAGACACTTACATAGCACAAATGATGAAAATAAATAGGTCTATTATACAACAGAGTACTGTAAAGTCACTGAAAAAGGGAAATAAGATCATGTACTGACATGGAAAGATGTACAAGGTATATTGTTAAAATAATCAACTTCCAGCCAAGATGGAGTCATAGGTAGACACACTGTGCCCTCTTGCACAACCAAAATTAAGAACAACAAAAATTTAGAAACAAACAACCAGATCTGACAGAAAATTGAACTGTACGGAAGTCCAACAACCATTCATCCAGACTAGTAAGAAGGGTGGAGTCAGCAGCCAGCAGAAAAGGGTGGCGGCAGGAAAAAGCGGTGGTTGGCGGTCCCTGGACTACAGGTGGTGGCTGGCTGACCCGGTGCACAGGGTGGCAATGGGCAGACCCACTGAAGTGTGCAAGGCCCCTGGCTGACCTTGGACACATATTCACTCATAGATAAACTGGGCAAAAACAGGGAGTGAGACAGATTGCACAACTCAGGGCCCCTGCACCGGGAAATGAAGCCTAAAAGCACCGACTGAAAACACTTGGGGTTGAGGTGCTTAGGAGAGACTCCCAGCCTCACAGGAGAGTTCGTTGGAGATACCCACAGGGTTCTAGGATGTACACAAGCCACCCACCCTGGAACAGAAAGGCCCAATTTGCTTGTGGGAAGCACCAGAGGGGACTGAAATCCAAGAGAGAGCAGAGCAAGGGCCATTGTTCCCTCTCTGACCCCAACCCCCACATACAGCATCACAATCCAGTGACATGGCTTGCCCTGCCCTGGCAAACATCTACGGCTCTGCCCCTCATATATAACAGGCACGAATAGGCAAAAAAAAAACAAAAAAAAAAACAAAGGCTCAAATGGAAGAACAGATCAAAGCCCCAGAGCCAATACATCTAAGCAACCAAGAGATAGCCAACCTATCAGATGCACTGTTCAAAGCACTGGTGATCAAGATGCTCACAGAATTGGTTGAATTTGGCCACAAATTAGATGAAAAAAAATGAAGGCCACACGAAGTGAAATGAAGGAAAATGCACAGGGAACCAATAGTGATGGGAAGGAAACTGGGACTCAGATCAATGGAGTGGACCAGAAGAAAGAAAGAAACAACCAAACAAAAGAAGAAAGAAACAAGAATTCAAAAAAAATAAGGAGAGGCTTAGGAACCTCCAGGACACCTTTAAATGTTCCAAAATCCAAATCATAGGGGTACCAGAAGAAGAGGAAGAACAAGAAACTGAAAACTTATTTGAACAAATAATAAAGGAGAACTTCCCTAATCTGGCAAAGGAAATAGACTTCCAGGAAGTCCAGGAAGCTCACAGAGTCCCAAAGAAGGTGGACTCAAGGACGAACACACCAAGGCACATCATAATTACATTAGCCAAGATTAAAATGAAGGAGAGAAGCCCAAAAGCAGCAAGAGATAAGGGGACAGTCACCTACAAAGGAGTTCCCATCAGACTGTCAGCGGATTTCTCAAAAGGGACCTTACAGGCAAGAAGGGGCTGGAAAGAAGTATTCCAAGTCATGAAATCCAGAGACCTACATCCAAGATTGCTCTGTCCAGCAAAGCTTTTATTTAGAGTGGAAGGGCAGATAAAGGTCAATTAAGGTCATGTTAAAGGAGTTCACCATCACCAAGCCCTTATTATATGAAATGTTAATAGGACTTATCTAAGAAAAAGAAGATAAAAAATGTGAACCGTAAAAAGACAGCAAACTTACAGTTATTTATAACCACACCTAAAACAAAAGCAAACTAAGCAGACAGCTAAAACAGGAACAAAAACCACAGAAATGGAGGTCACATGAAGGGTTAACAACAGGGGAGTGCGAGGAGGAGAGAGAGAAAAGGTACAGAGAATAAGTAGCATAGACAGTAGGTAGAAAATAGGGGGCAAGAATGGTATGGGAAATGTAGAAGCTAAAGAACTTAGGACACATGGACATGAATTAAAAGGGGGAATGTGGGTAGGAGGGGTGTGCAAGGTGGAGGGGAATGAAGGAGGGGAATGGGACAACTTTCCATTAGCATAATAAAAAAGCATAATAAAATACATTTTTAAAAATCAAGTTGCAGAACAGTATACATTGTCTGAATTCCATTTTTATAAAGGTGTATTTTTTTCTTTTTTTAAAATTTTATTTATTTTTCAATAAAGGTGTATTTTCTGAAATGTTGAAATACACATACAAAATATCTGGAAAAATGTACAGCAAACTTAATAAAATATGTTTTACTTTCCTTAATCAAGGAAGATTATAAATCATTATGTAAATCCTCTAGTAGAACCATTTTGTTCAACTCAACCTTTTGTTCATCTCCTCAGTGAGGGTGGGTGAAGTGGGTTCAAAAGAGAACTGTATGATGCTGAAGGGAAACGGGATTTCCACTCTGGCCTGCTTGAGAACCTTCAGAGGACAGCACAGCCTGGGTGAGGCAGAAACCTAGTATTCTCCTATGGCTCATCACAATAATACAAACAATGTTTATCTTTTTACCCACATTAAAAAGCAATATAGGGCTGACTTCGAGGTCTGGAAGAAAATGGTGATACCACATAGCTTCCTAGAAAAACCATATAATCAGTAAAGAAAATAAATAAAATCTCGTATGACCTTTAGCATAAGTAAGAAGCAAATGATTATAACTTTCCAGTTTCTCCTAAGGAAAGAAATAAGTTCACTTCCAACAGTGCTCCCACCATCCCACAGTGTTGCAAGCCTGTGAGTAAAAAGAGCAAAGAGAAAAGCCTTAAGAAGCTTTGGAAAAAATAAAACAAGAGCAAGGAAGGCTTAGATGAAGCACAGAATCACCCCCAGAAAGAAAAAGGACAAGTAATGAACACAGGTCAGGACTTGACACAGGAAAGAGACTTGACAGCCTCAGAAGCAGTGCTTCTGGGAAGAATCATATATGGAGAAGAGGTAATAGCTTTTTAGAGACAATGCAGTGAAGGGAAAAAAGGAAGTAAGGGGGAAAATGAAGGATCCTGCAGAAGATAAATAAGATGAATGCCACCCCCTCCAAAGGGCATTATAAACTCTTAAGTCTTACCAGTATCACAACTTCATTCTCAAAAGAAACAATACTTTAAAAAAAAAGTTTGAGATATTTGAGAGGGGGCTTTCAAGATGGCGATGGACTAGGACGGAGCAGATACCAGTTCCTAGTACAAAAGGGAGAGAAACCTGTCTGATCGGAGGAGGTGAAACCAGCAAGCCAGCAGTTGCCAAGCATATATGAAAATAAGAGACCAGAAACCTCATCGGTCACGGAGGAACCGGATGGTAGGGAGACAGCAGCCGTACAGTAGTCTCTGGGATGGAGCAAAGGGAAACAGCTGGTGCAGGGTAGGGGAACCAGCGCCCAGTGGTGAGAGCCCAACGGCGCATGGGACAGCGTTCAGTGCCCAGACGGCTCCCTCCCTGGGCAGGCCAAGTGGCCCAGGCAAGGAGGTGTGGAAGGAATTTCAGCCTGCGAGCAATTTGGGTAACTAGTCGCCCGACATGCAGTGTATCTGGGTGAGTGCCTGAGGGCGCCTAGGCCAATGTTCAGCACCCAGAAAGCTCCCTCCCTAGGATTTTTGGGCCCGGACCTGCCAAGAGACCCAACCAGAGGGGAGCAGAGGAGATTTCAGCCTGCACACAGTTCTGGGTCCAGCGCCTGGTGTGGTGCTGCTCCACCCCTAGGTTTTTTTGGCAGAGGTTGGCCAGGGGACCCAGACAAACACAGGAGCAGAAGGGATACACACCACGCAGTGTGCCATGAGGTGCGCACAGAGTTTCTAGGTTGGCGCCCAGTCCTCAGATCGGCTCCCAGCTTCCAGTCAACCCCCCTCAGACTATCTGGAAGCCCCGGACGCTGAGGGGTCCTGGGGAAAGAGCTGAGACCCTCAACCCCCTCCCTTTATGGCCAAGCAAGGTGGGGTGCCAGGAGAGACTTGTTTGATAGAGTTTGTGGAGAGGGTGCGGAGGACAA